GGCCCTAACCCATATACCGTTGGAGCCAGAATAGAGAGCGAACGAATAATAGGAGGGTGGATAATAATACCGTTGCCAGTGCGTCGCTAATGACGGCGACTTTGTCAAAATTCAACTCGTAGCGAAAGAAGAACCCCCCTCGACGAGATCGTGGCAGCGTAAGTTCTACAAAAGTACTGCATATAGTATCTCTGACTTGGTCTCAGATCTCTGACTTGGTCATTCGTACATTTTTTCCGACAACAGTTCGATCTCGAGGATGTCGCTTTTGAATGTGACACTGGTACTTTGGGAGGAAATACTCGGCATATTTCCGTCGTACACAATCGTCAAAATGACAAAATAGCGTTATTTGTTTCCACGCCCCTGCCGAAATCCACGCTACGGCCACGTAGCTGGCGTTGGTTGGCAGTGCTTGTGTCTAAAACTAGCGGCGACCGCGACATGTGCACGTAGACATCGCGGCGTCAAAACTCGTTGCATTATGTCATACTTTTAACGCGGTACACAGCATCGAGCACATCGGTGACCTTTCTACCTTTCGACAACGGCAACACTATTATTTCGTTTCCTGCCCGTGAGTTGTTGAGGATGACGGAGTCTTGGAAAACGTCTTGTCCGGGAAAATGGAGCGATGAATGATTAGATCGCAGGTGGTAACGTCAATCCTTGGTACATCAGCTTCTCGGTTATGTAACGTTTAGAAAAATTATAGTATCGATTAGTTCGCAGCAGGTGTGTCAACGTTAGTTTACCGTCATGAAAGCGAGAAGTCGCGTTCTGTTACATCGACGATTAGTGGAACGAGTCAATGGCATCTGTTGCTCAAACATTTCCTTCCGTATCCGTATGCACATTTAAGCCGAGTATTTCTCGTAGAAAGTGGTAATTCTGGAAAATGTCGTTTCTTTGCACGAGTTTCTCACACAGTATCTCTACACGACAGTCGTATTTGGGTATATTTAGACCGCAGTGTTCAGCCCTGGGACAGATTGACGTAAGCTAACGACTAATTATGTTACCTTCTTAACGCTGCGCTGGATCGAAACACCGTGCCAAGTGAATCATAACTTTTGCTCGTTTTATCTTAAATTCTAAGGTTTTTCAGAAATCATCGATGTTCTCATTTTGTAAGATGTGCTTGTAAGAGGCTTTATTTTTTCTTTTTTTGCAAAAAGATTAATCGATAAGATAATGCGACGATGCTCGATCAATGAGAATGACTATATTTGCATTTGTATGCCGATGAATACGAAAACCGGCTACTTCGGTATCGAATTGCTAATAATCCTGATTTAGAGCGTGAATAAGAAGCAATAAAATACTACCGATCATTAGCCATATAAGAACTAAATCTTTGTATATCTTTGAAAAATATCGAAGAAACATCGTGTTGTAACATAAAAGAAATTGAAAACATGTGCATCAAAGCGACGCTAGCAAGTTACGAGTTGGAAAACCTGTTGATAGAAGTCACGTGCTTCGATTATTTCAGTCGTGTACCATTCATCTTAATACTCTCTTCGTAGTGTCATTTACTGACAAAAAGGGGTTTACTGAAATATTTACAACGAGTAAAATGCATTAAGATTGACGATTTTAAAACCGAAAGAAGCAAACACGTGAACATTACGTCTCACGATTCTTTTTACATATTGTACCGCGAGTACTTTCGACCGAATTATACGCACGTGTCTACTTCTTGGTGCAATTGCGTTCGATGCAGTGATTCGCACGTGTAGATCTCGAGCGATCGTATCCTGTCCCATCAAAGCGCAAAAAGAACGCCACGACCGTTACAATAGCGTTAATCTATTTATCTGACTAACAACAAACTTATCTTGTGACTCATTCGCCGACGGATTCGCGCCGCTGAGAGGGCCGATCGCTTTCCGCTTGTGCGCCTGTTGTCTACGTACGCGACACACTCAATTTTTATTGCCGGATTAATGACCGTCAGCTATATTGTCATTTTCTGTCCGTAAAAGATTTGTTTACATCAAGAAGTGGTTTTATCGTGTTTTGCTACATTTGTTAAAGTTCTATCTCGCAATTTCCTATGCTGGCTATGTAAAAAACCTTGTTCGAGAAAGTGTCTCATCATGGTTTACGTTCTTTGTGATAACGGTAGATTTTGATTGGTTTGTTTGATTTTATATCGCAATAAACGGTGTATACATTTTTAAATGATTTGTGACTACAGAGACAATGATTGAAAGCTTTTTCCTGGCCTTTCGCTTTTTCTGATATTCTTTGTACGTGGTTGAATTTTGCACAGTTATGAGTAATATGGAAGCGACTACGAATGACTCAATTGGTTTCGTATTAATTGGTATTCCATGTTATCTACAGTTTGTCTAGAGATAAAGGGATTCTCAAAACGGTGCTCCCTGGTGACTGTTGTTCGTCTCATTTTTATTGGAGTTGGAGTATTGAGAGATTAAGAAGAACGTTAAAGGGGGGATACGATGCGGGATATTTTAGAAAAATTGGAGGAGTTTAGAGCGATGAAAAAATACCGTGATTTTTATATCAAAATATATTTGTGCATAGACAAGAAGACAACCGTGACAGGTAATCTCGTACCTAACATACATCAGTCATACGCCAAGGAACGCGTGCACATGCACGTACACGCTCGTGTGCGGACATGCGTGATGTACGCGGGCATACACACGCAAGTGATGAACGCGTACACACTTTTGTTTGAGTCGTGCATCATTGAGAGACCCGATAAACGTCTTAGAAAAAGAGACATTAAAATAAAATAAAATAAAATAAAATAAAATAAAATAAAATAAAATAAAATAAAATAAAGAAGAGAAAAAGTATTAAACTTGCCGCACAAGTACGTATATAAGGTAATAACAAATATCGTTCTCTCGCACGCGATCGAATCTACGAACGAGGAAGACAAAAAGAAAAAAGAATGAAGCCCGCTTCACGCGATTTTTACGGTAACTCAAGATAAAGGGGATTTGGTTAGACCAAATCCCAGGTAACGTCGGTGAATTATCTATCTCTCCTCTCTTCCCCTCTCGCCGCAATCGCCTAACTCGTCGTTCACATTAACACGTATAATTATAACGATTGGTTTTCTTAGACACATGCTCGCACACATTCGACATTTTTTATAATTTTTTATTTTCTCTTCCCTTTCGTCCTTTCACGCTCTCTCGTTCTCTCACAAAAAACACGAGTCCGCTTCGCTTCGTTTCTCTAACAAAATATATTAGCTTTTTTTATGTACATACATCTCGAATATAATAAAATTAAAATAGAGCTATAATACAAGGGCATGTGATATGAGTGCTTTTCTTTTTTCCCGTGTATATGTGTGTGTGTGTGTGTGTGTGTGTGTGTGTGTGTGTGTGTGTGTGTGTGTGTGTGTGTGTGTGTGTGTGTGTGTGTGTGTGTGTGTGTGTGTGTGTGTGTGTGTGTGTGTGTGTGTGTGTGTGTGTGTGTGTGTGTGTGTGTGTGTGTGTGTGTGTGTGTGTGTGTGTGTGTGTGTGTGTGTGTGTGTGTGTGTGTGTGTGTGTGTGTGTGTGTGTGTGTGTGTGTGTGTGTGTGTGTGTGTGTGTGTGTGTGTGTGTGTGTGTGTGTGTGTGTGTGTGTGTGTGTGTGTGTGTGTGTGTGTGTGTGTGTGTGTGTGTGTGTGTGTGTGTGTGTGTGTGTGTGTGTGTGTGTGTGTGTGTGTGTGTGTGTGTGTGTGTGTGTGTGTGTGTGTGTGTGTGTGTGTGTGTGTGTGTGTGTGTGTGTGTGTGTGTGTGTGTGTGTGTGTGTGTGTGTGTGTGTGTATGTATGTGTTTTTAGGGTATGGTTGCGCCGTTTCACCCTGTCGAAGAAAATACAACACATGAATCGAGAAGGTAACATGGACATTGTTATCGCATCGATGCTGATCGAAAATTATGGTATCTCGGCATATCTTTTTAGATACTTGGTAATAAGAACGATAATCTAATTTGATCGATCGATATCTAAGAGTCTGAACGTAAAGCAGTGCACGTACATATCGCGCCATCGCATCGTCACTTTGTATGTAGATTTGTATGTATAATTTGTGTATGTGCACGTATGTGTAAATATGCGTGTTTTGCTTTGTACTCGTATGTATGATCAGTGGAAGGTGCATCAAAAATGTATAATGTAAAGAGAATCAAAGATTTATGCAAATGAATTTACATATGCGCGCATCGATACGCGTATGCACGTGTTGGTGCATATATATGCGAGCACGCGCCTCTACGTATGTAAGTATTTGAGTTACGTGTGAGCGTTATGTATGTGAGAGTGTGATTGATGCGCTTGTACACATCGATGCATGATTTGTTCAGAGTCGCAACGTGTCTTCGTGTTGCGAATTACGCGATCGAATGAGGTGGCGAACTCGCGAGACACGCGGTAACCACCACCCAGTCTTACGTACATTGAGAAAAAAAGAAAAAGAAAAAAAAGATAGAAGATAGATACGAAAGAAGGAAAAAAAGAAAGAAACAAAGAAGATCGAATGAATCGATCGTCCATCTCGATTAATTTTCATCTATCTCTCGTGTAACACCGAAGGTCCGAAGAAGAGGATCGCAACATGGTGGCCACGTGAGAAGCCTCGAAAATCATTCCTCGTGTCTTCTGTTCGCTCTCTTTTTTTTTTTTCGTTTTTCTAAATCTTTTTCTTCGTTTCATTGCGTGTCGTGTACAGACGAACGGGGGGAAAGTGTCCGATGCACTTGGTGTAAACAAAAGTTCGTCGTGAGCAGAGGCACTTTTCTTCCACACGTGAGGTTATCGAGGTAAGCTTCAGCTGCCGAAAAGCTCTCCCCGGGGAGAAACCGACGAGCGTCTCTTCTTCAAACGAGTCACGCCTCTCCCTTCTTCTCCTATCCTCTTTCGTTTGTTCATTCCCGTCGCTCCACGAGATATTCTCTCTCTCTCTCTCTCTCTCTCTCTCTTTCTCTCTTCGTCTTACTCTCTATTTTCCATTCCCATTGCGTCTTTTCTTCTGTCCGCGAGTTGCGTGTGTCGTTTCTGTCGAACAAACGCACGTGTACATCTCGCGTTCTCCATACCGTGGAACGAAACGAGAAAAGACGCAGTAACGTCCGCGACGAATGTCGATCCAGGACATTCTTTTTTACTTAGATCCGGATGACGCGGGTGCGAAAGGATGGAGCTGAACCATCAGGCAACCCGGAAAACGGAAGTCGCTTCGAAATGACTCTCTTTCGCAATGGAATCGACCCGAAAGGCAAGGGACGAAGGCCGATACCGGTGGACGAGAGAAGGGCGTAATAAAGGCGGCACGATGCCACCGTGGTACTCAACGACGACGTTGTCGTGCGCTACATGGGCCCCACCGCGTGCTGTTGGAATTGATCGAGATGCCTCGAGATCTCACGATGAAGCTGTTCCGGTACCACGCCGACGCTGCTAAACAGAGACCTAAGAACGTTCAGTTCCTCCGTCAGCAATTCGATCCTTTTTTTGAGCAGGTCGTTGTCTTTCACCAGTAGCTTCACCTTCTCCTCGGTTTCCCTCGATCGTACCTTCGCCTTCTCGCGACTTTTCCTCACCGCGATGTTGTTCCTTTCGCGTCGTCTTCTGTACTCGTCGCTGGCTTTGTCGATGGCCTTGGTCTGTTTTCTGGCAACAGCGGCGGCAGTGTTTGCGTGATGTTGATGCGCCATCACAGGCTTCATCGGTCCTCCCCGAGGCGGTGGTTGGTGCACCGGTGCACCGGGATGCCCTCCAGGTACCGTGGACGGCGTTAAAGTTGTGAAGGTTGGTGCTCCGTTGGCGAACGGTCCGTTTGTAACTGGGCTGTATCCGCCTGGTGGATATTGCGGGCAGTGACGACGATAGTCCGCCGGGTCGAGCGGTTCCTCTTTAATGCTGGGCGATTCGGAGCTCGAGCTGTTGCTGTCGCTACAGCTGTTGCTGCCCTGGTGATAGCTCGCTCCGCTGTGGACAGGTTGCGGCATGTACGCGAGCGTGGTACGTGGATAACCCGGCGTTCTGACATGTTTCACGGCTCCGTTGTTAGCACCTAACATATCTAGCAGGCCGTCGTTGAAGTGGCTATCATCGATCAGATGTTGCAGATCTAACGATATCTCTGGCGTATTCAGGTCTGTCAGCTCACCGGCTGCGGCGCAATGTTCCGCGTACTGTTGGTGAAGGCTAGCCTTGCTCGCCGAGACCTTGCTCACCACCGAGCTGCTCTGCTGCTGACTGTGATTATGATTCACCTGCAGAGCAGAGTTATTGTTGTTCGCTGCGTTGTTGTTGTTGTTGTTCTGATGGTTGTTATTATTGTTGTTGAGTACTTGAGATTTCTTGAGATCGGCCGCACCGTGGGCCTGAGCCTGATGGGCCGCTGAATCGTACATGACTGGTGACTCCATTGCTCACTCGCACATCACAGATACGATATATCTTTCCGCGATTCTACTATCACCTTCTTTCGCCTTATCGTTGTATTTATATCCGAGTGTCCGTTTGTTTTTATTCTCGGTTTCTTTGAATAATTTACCCGTATTTCGGATTGTAATTCGATTACACGTTGTGCACGGAAAAACAGAGAGCCAATCGTATCGCTGTGAAACTTTACCACGAGAGAACGACCTCGAGCGGCAAGCCGGGGATTTTCCCGTGCGGACGGGCCGAGATCTGACACTGGTCCAAGTACCAAAACGTGACCCTCGACTATTCCAATTTTCGAGGACGAAGAAGCGCGCCGCGCTAACTTTCGGCAGCCTTAGGAGGACACAAGATGATCGTTACTCGGTTAAAACCGCGTGGTTCGTATGCGCCAACGCGTTCACCACGCCTACGCGGGCTTTTTCGTGCTCACGGTTACGGTACACCACAGAGAATGCCCAGAAAACGAGAAAACGATATCACCCGCACAAGAGCTGGCGCACGACTGAGCGGCTTTGCGGCATGTCGCAAGCTTTCAATGTGGCGTGCGACGAGAGCAACTCCATGCCTCATTGCGCTTGCGCTCGCGCGCTTCCCTCTCAGCCGCTCTCCTCGCCTCTTTCCTCTTCTAGCGATCCGCGCTAAGAGCATGGATACCGCGCGTCCACCGTGCTCCTTCTTTCTCTCCCTCTTTCTTCGTTTTATTCCGATCGCTCCTTCCTTCTCTTTTCCTCTCCTTTCTATTTTCCCTTCCTCCCTCTCTGTCGCTCTTTCCCTCTCTCCTAGGTTAAATCTTTCTTTGTTCGTTTTACAGGTTGACATGCTGTCGTCCCGTCGCGGCATCGCGCGACAGGAAAACTTTTCCGGTGCTCGCCTTTCTCGGTTCTATTTATAAGAACTTATACACGAATCCGCCGTTCTTTCGATCCACGGATTTTCCACGGAAATCGGAAGACTTTCCATGCGATTTTCTTCTTCGTTTCGCTCTTTCTGCCTTTCGACGTGTATATACGCGCCGTCTCGATGACGCGCGGCCTCCGTTCGCTATAACTATATACACACGAATGGAGAACGCGCGATTTGTTTCGTAGGACAACCGATTTGACGATTATCGTTACCGTCATCGTTGGGCACTCGATCGGAACCGATTTCTAATACCGGGCACATTTGATTTGTCAGTTAGCCGAGTAGCGATATCTGTCCAATTGCTTGCGTGAGATTGCGCAATTAGCAGTAACAAAGTAAGAGAGGATATTATCGGCGGTAGATGGGAGATCCTTATGCGAATTGTACGGGAATGGAACGAATAATGGAATGATGTTTCTGATATCGAAATGTTTCTTTATCCTCGTCCTAAAATATTATGAGCGGTTCTGTTCAAATTTAGAGTAACGATTCGTCGAGAGGGGAATTTGAACCTTATAATGTGTGATTTTAACCGTTCTATCTTTGTTTCAGGAGATCGCGTTCTTTGATGTTATATCTAGGAATGCATTTTATGCGCTGCAATGACGTCGATATACAATTTTGGATTGACATTTATGTAGAGAGAATTTCGAATATTCCTCCAAGCGCGTGAATCAACGCCGCCAGCGACATCTTCAGACGGAAAACGAAATCATAGCCAGTCGGTATAATATTTGCGAGCCGATCTACGGCGAAAGGATCCGAATCTAACCGAATTTCTTCGCCGTGATATTAGCCACAACAAAAAATTAGTAACATTCGCGTAAAAACTTTTCGGAAATATATATTTTTCACGTTCTTTTTGTGATTCACCATTGCTGCCGAGAATATAGTGCTTCGCGACATTAAGGTAAGTACTAGATTTCGTTAGGTTATTTTTCTCGCGCGTTTCGCATTATTGGGCCGTTTTGGGCCCACGACTGCCTTTGACGGAACGGTCCGAAGGATGTACGCGTATTGTTATGACAAAATACAAGTAACACGTCATGCACAGTATTTTCAAATACTAAAGTAGGAATTTGCATCGTGGCGTGATATTTGCTTTTTTATTTCTACTTTTGCTTTGCCAAACATTCTCAAACGCATCGTACACGAGTTGCCTGATTGGTTTTGGGCTTAACCTAAACAAAATCTGCTGCACGAAATTCCACGCAAGGTACCAACGTATTGTCTTGTATACGTTCTAGAAATTTTGTCCTTCGTTTCATGGTTTACGTGTTTCAAGGTGATTAAGTTATTAAACAATGTTTTTAAATGTTTTTTGATTGAACGTGCATATGCGTTTTTGGCCTTATACGCATGGTGATATTTATATAACATTGTCATTATTATAATTATATTACTCTGTTTTATATGCTTTTAGTTCAGTGTGTGTTACTAAAACTTGTTTTTCCAGTTTTGAAATCCAAGCGAGGTTCATTGGTACATTGGTCGTCAACAATGGCAGATGAACAGCAACAGTTTTTTCTTAAATGGAATGATTTCCAATCTAATATGGTATCATCGTTTAAACACTTACGAGATGAAAAAAGTTTTACGGATGTGACGTTAGCTTGTGATGGTCAAACTTGTAAAGCACATAAGATGGTATTATCTGCTTGTAGTCCCTATTTTAAGTCTTTGTTAGAGGTATGTTATCATCCTGTTATGCGAAATGTAATTTTTGGGAGATACGACGCAAGTGTTAATTTTCTAAAATTTTTTGTAGGAAAATCCGTCCAAACATCCCATTATAATTCTAAAAGATGTTGCATACAGCCATCTTCAAGCTATTTTGGAGTTTATGTATGCAGGAGAAGTTAATGTTTCGCAAGATCAGTTGCCTGCATTTCTTAAAACTGCTGATCGGCTTAAAGTCAAAGGGTTAGCAGAAGCACCAGGTGCCATTAAGAGAGAGGGTTAAAGTTATACTTATAGTTATGGTAAGGTCATGTATTAGATTCGGTTGACAAATTTCACTATATTTCATATATTTCCTTCAATTTAGTACTTGTGCTTCCCTTTCCAGGATATTGGAAAGCGTGTGGACTAAAAAAAAAGTGTAATAATGTAAAGTGATTACGTAAAGACATATACCACACACCATAAAAAACACACGCTATGTGTGCACAACTCAGTGTCCTCTGGTTCATGACTTGGATCAACACACAGCGACAATGTAAATTGCCTTTTCTTCATCTCAGTTAATGTTAATGTTGTATTGAATGTATGTATACAAATATGGTAGAGACGAAATGTTGATGTTTGTCTTGAACCCGTTGCGCCATGCAGTGGCGACAACACATTGATTATTTTTTTAAAACAAAGTGCTGCAGAAACTAATAAGTGGGTCACCATAGTTTACAATACACGGGACAGTTTTGTGGATCAAATGGAAATGTTAAAAGACATCTTTACAACTGCTGTTTTTAAAATGGATCTACTGTCTCACTATATTTTCCTATCGGTGGTTCCATGGTAGATCTGTTCACGAGGCATTAAAATTTCTTAAATCTGTACCAAATATTGGATAAGCGCAACCTTTTTACCGTTTTCTTCTTTACGGAGGATAGAGCAATATTTTATTGTAATATAAAAACTAAATATATTCGAGAAATAAGAGTTTATGATACTGTAATTGTAAGCCAATGTGTTAATATAGGAGAGCAAGAAATTTAGATCGTATCGTGAATAGATCTGCAATACCCCGATAATCCCATGAAAGAATGTTAAATCAAGTTTACTGGAAGTTGTAACATGCGTGTCGTTTATTGCTCTCTTTTATTATCGACAGTATGTTTAGTTTGGTGTATATACACGATTATTCCTCAAATTATTGGGATATAAAACAACTCTTGTGTGGATATATCTGTGGTATCTCTTGTAGTTTAAGAAACAATCGTGTATATATATTCAACCAAATATAGTGTTCGTGGATTGATAGATCGTGTCGTTTCTCACCGGTTAACATTCGCAATTGGCACGAGAATAATTGTTCCGTTCATCTTTTATTCAGTCGGTACCAGTTACCTCTTCTAGTGATCATGATTTTTTTACTTAACCAAATACTGCCAGTATTTATACCGGCGTATTCACAATATTACCGATAGACCAAATTTATTTATGATAATAATATATTAAGGGTTGAATGTCTTAAATCGAGGGAAGGTTATTGTAATATAAGCGAAACAAATTTTTGTAAAGTCGGAGCGCACAGTTCCTTTCCCCTCCCGATGAATCAGAATAATCAGAGTTAAAGGCAAAAAAGTCAGGAAACATTATCGAGTCAAGAACATATGTATTGATACGTGTTGTACGCAAAAATATAAAAATACCATTTTATTTGTTATATAATCGCGAGTCCAAGAACTTTTGCTACTTTTACTTCGAAGAACTAATTTCATACTTCTCGTAAGTCGATGAATTATGATTTTGCTTTATTCTTTTCTTATTTCTTAATATATTTGATTCAATTCTTGACTCTTCTTATTTTTTTTCTTTTCCTAAATATTACTTTTGGTATAATATCGTTTGGTATACCTTGCGATAATTATCAAAGAAAAATTAGGTGTATTTACCATTTAGAATGATATATACGTTGAACGATATTACGTATATTTACGATTTTTGAATTCATTTTTAAACATCACGAGTACTTCTACGATACTGAATGCCAATTTAGGATTACACATTCGTTTCCTATACTTGAAGCATATTGGAAACAAAATCGTACAAACAAATTGTCGTAGCACAATTTTTTCTGTCTTTTTTTAATTGCGTCGGATGTTCTTGTGAACATTGTTACGATTGTATGATTATTTAGAAACAACAAATTGACGCTCGAGTGGAATTTCTATCTTGACGATATTAACGAACTAATTCGGAACGAGTTAATTAAGAACGATTGTTGTAATTATGTACAACATAAACGCATGTAATGGGACCAGCCACAATGAACTATAAAGGTACAATTGGAATTGACTTTGTCTAGCCTCCGTTAATAGCTGTATTGAACATTATTTTCGAACTGTGTTCGAACACATATCAATTATTTTGCTCGATTCGCGCTATGAGCGAAAGAAAAGTTTTCACAGTCATCCGATAGCAAGTCGTACTTGAAAAGCAAAGAAAAAAGAATGACGACCGTGTCTGTTCACAGTATTTAAGACAGCCTTTAACATTAAGATGGTTGGGTTCAGTTCCTACAATGACACGTTTCTCGGGCATTTGGTGATTAAAATGTGAATTGTACCGTGTGTATTTACTAAAGTATCAAGAGCTGTATACACTTTAGAGTAGATGTTATATGAGTGATGATTCGAGATAAGTTTGCAACTTGTTGATAAGCTTTCCTCCATATTCTTAACCACTTATGTTACACGAGTAGAGGTGTTCAAGAGCTATTGTAAGTTTTTTACTCTTCTCTTTATCCAAACCTTTTTGAGAACGACCGATTTGCGATCTATTGATTTACCAAGGTTTTCCGACGAATCTCTCATTCCTTTTATACTGCTACTTTTTGTCACGAAATTTTCCTCGTTCACCTTTTTAAAGATAATATTCGACTTTTTCCTTTTTGTCTCCTTTTAATAATTATAATGTGACTCGATGATGATTATGATTACAATATGACAATGTTGAGATATAAAAATAAATTGTGTAAATATATCATTTTCGTAAAACTGTTGCTTTTCCCTAATGCCTTCTAACTTCAGCTGGCAATAACAAAATGTACACTTTTTTTTGACATGAAAAGTATATTTATATGCTTGTGAACAGAGTTCAAATGCGTATATAATCATACATATAAAATAGTTAAAGTCAGTTAATAAATTGTGTCAAAACATATATAGAAACTTCAACGTAGCTTTTCACCTGTTGGTGAATATTGTTATGTTTCGAACGAATTAGGCACCCAGATAATCAACTCTCAGTTCCTATAATCTTTCATTGGGTAACCCTGGAAGACAAGAAATTCAACTGAAAATTCACTCTACGATTAAAACCACTTAGATTGTTTCCTAATGAATTCATGATCTTACTTGGTGCTGGATAGTTGTATACAGGATACTTAGGCGAAAAAGGAATATTCGCACCGAATACGAATTCCGATTCATGTATATCTCTAATGTCTGGAGTTTCAGACGAACCTACTTCGTAGGATGGTGGTGCTAAACAAGAGACGAAAGGTAATGCTCGTTAACTTGCTACTCCATTTTCTTTTGCATATATTAAACACAGATTTATTTATTTCTTACGTATATCCAGGTAAGCCGTAGAAGCGGTAATTCGATCTTGTAACGGACTATTTGATGCACTTGATGGTCCTGGCGTCGATGTTGTCACTACAGCCGGCTGTGCTACAAGTGGAGTGGAAGAGGCTACGCCCCTATGCAGAAGTGTCAAAGCTGGACGATATAACGGTATCGTTCCGATTAGAACAGGGTAATGTCTCTTCATTTTAGAATACCTGATTTTACACATGAACGAAATCATCGATGAATATAATTGAGATTTTAGAAAGTAAACCACGCTTATAATATTGCGTCGTGGTTATTATATCTCATATCTTTGATATCGTAATTGCTTCTAGTATTAATATTACGATAGTAATCTGATACGAAGCAATAAAAATAGCTGAAAGTATTATCCACTTTCAATCAGTGTTACTTACGGTCCCGAAATGTGAACAGTGACGATCACCTCGTACTCTAAATCTATTATGCTACAATATTGAAGATCAGAAGGTGCTATTGGTGGTACTAAAATCTCCGATGTAATGCGGCCATGTGTCGGAAATGGTGGCATATGCCTATTTTTTTTTAATACTTTTTTATGAACCATTGTATTACTTAGCGTGCGAAAATGGGCTGTCTGCAAGAAGAAAAAGAATAGACGAAAGACGAAACGAAATAGTGCCTCGGCATTGTAGAAATTGGTATCTTGACCATTTTCAACCGTCACTTACTCGTAATAATTTTGTGCTCAGTTTCCTAATCGGTATATCCGGGGTACTCGTGTAATGTATCGTTGTAGTTATTATTTGCCCTGGTACGTATCCAGTGCAAGGCACCATGATTTGTAAACTTATCGAGCCTTGCCCGACCCAGCACAAGCAATTGAAATTCTTGTTCGTTTCATCGTGGATTGCAAACTGTGCGAGGAATAGAATAATTCGTAAATTTGAAATACGTTTGTATATCATTCTAGAGGTGAATATTAATTCCTTACGCATTTTTCACGATAAAGGTTCAAGTCGAAACGCGAAACTACGCTGAACGCTGCTTTGCACTCGTGATTGAACTTAAATGCTCTTTCGAGAACGACTTTCATCGTGTATCTTACGTACCCAGTGTCATGTTCAAAGCTGCATGGTATGTCACAGGGCAATCGGAAGCTAAACGAATACTCGGTACGCCCGTGGGAGATTGTATGCCCTGTCTGGCCTGCAAAATTGATAAGCACGTTTCTATTTTGAATTTCGTAGATTTCATTCGATATCTTCTGTTTGTCATCAACACTGATCACCGTCTTGCTCAAATATTTAAATCTCTTGGAAACTGTTACTCACTTGCTGAAATACCAAGTATGTTATGCTTGAAATTGAAGTATTCCTCTTTGCCTGAAAAGCTGTGCGACCTTATATCATCTATTGCATCATTTTCCAACCAATGAACAAATGCTGATCCGTTTACAGTGAAATATAATCCTATAATCGAGAGTCAAGCAGATCTTGGATAAATTCACAATCGATCTTTCTTTATCTCTGGATGCACGTTCGATAAAAAGGCGATAATCTTGTCAGACTGGTTCATCTCACTAGCATGATTAAATAACGATTTACTTACGCGCCTAATTAGAATTGTGCAATTTTTCCAATAGAAGTGAAATAATGATTACATTGTTTCATGCTACAATGTTATTCGTACACCGATGTCTTCAACTAGAGACGATTAATCGTGAATCTACGAATGATCCACATTTGGTAAATTTTTTTCAACGAAACACGTTTTTTGCTGTTTGTAGAATTCGTTGGAACATCGCACAGAGATTAGGTACACGACAATTTTATAGGCTTATACGTATATCTCGTTGGCAACGCAATTAAAAAACGTGCGAGTTTCCTTTGTAGCTATGTACGTTTAACGTTGCCGAAAACAGGATTATGCTACTGTAACGGTTGTTTCAGATTAAACGTAGTAAAGCAGTTTACCGCAAAGCAGAACAATACAAGAATGTGATTGTTTGCAGAGATGTCAGTTTCTCATATCGAATTCACATTGACATTTTAATTATCAATTACCATATCACGTTTAGTTTGAAATGACAGTAAATTCGAAAACTATATATGTAATACATAATTAAAAGCCGAAGACGATTCCTCGGGACGCGGCGCGTTTGAAAATCCTGTCGCGTTTCATAACCGCAATAACTCACCTTTAACATGCTTCTCTTTTGTCGCGTCTATGATAATTCTTCCGGTGACAATTTCACCGGGTTCATATGTGGCGCTTGATTTGTTGAATACTATGCAAAATTGCTTCAAAGACGCCATATTGTATAAGGAACGTCCAGTACTGGTGATTCACAGTTCCAAATTTTCTTTCTCGTGTAAGAAACTAAAATCGTCAACTTTCACGCAGCACAGTTTATAAATCACACATCTCCCACTCGATCGTTGACTGATTCGAATTTCTGTTTGACATTGATACTAAAACAACAAACAAGGCGATTGAGGAATATTATTGGGATAGGAATCAATAAATAGAAGCAAGGACTGTACGTTACTATCGATGTGATATCTGGCAGTTTGTTTGAAATAATAGTTACGATATTCTTACTGGCAATCAGTCGGAACTATCCTCAAGAAGAGGCAATCGATCTTTTAAGGGCGCGTGATTCGCTTTTCCCGTCAGCGCGTAACTTGTACGAATTCAGTTCGTTTCTTCGCTGCTCCCTCGCGATCTGATAAATAATGATGACATTTCGTGTCATTCCAATACTTATAATTTTAACGTAGAATATAAAATTGAGAAATGCAACGAAGGTGGATCCACAAGTAATATCTCCGATCATCGACCGCGTTTCGAGGGCAATTTTCCACTTTGAAAATTGCCGCATCGCGTCTGTTTCCGACAATCTGGTTCGACGTTTACCTGTTGGTCGTGTTTGCCGAAGTTTGACCGCAAGCACGGGGGTTGATCCGTGAGCAGTTACCACACGTTGCGGTGCAAATTCGAGAGCAATCTCAGCGAACGTTTATGTAGTATGTCATCGCGAACCATCGATTACCCTAAAGGGATCGTTGCCGCGTTAGTAACTATCTGCGGTTTTACACGAGAATCCAATTTTCCTTGGGAAAGCTGCGCGCCTTTGCATCCGCTTAGCGAATAAAATCTTCATCGTTCCAATAAAACTTCACCGTGCATGGGATTAGGAAAAAGCCAGCATCGAGATGTAACGTTTATCGTTGCAAAATTTTCATATATTAGTAATTAATTCCGGTTGTTTTCCTTTGCGCCTTAAACATGTATGTTTAACGGACGCTGGCAAACATTCTTCGAGAATGGTAATAACGGGTTAATGGTAATAATCTTCAACGTGAATAGAGAAATCGATTCAATGGAATATTTGCTCTGTCGATTTCAAATTGAACATCATTCCCCTGATATCCATCTATTCCCTTACATAAACAGCTTCTGTTAAATACCATTATCTTTCATTGAACTCCGCTGTTCGTACAGTCGATTCACCGTTACGCTTATAAATTCGTACGACTTGGAAAACCGTCGAACTCAGAAGAGTCCTCTAACACGTGACATTTATTTCCCTACTTGTAACCGTATTTTATTTCTTCAACGATAAGATGAAATCCATCATCAGGTGGTGACCTACGGAGATCCCGAGGAGTCACGGAAGCGAAATGGATCGAATTAATAAAGAGACACGTGCGAAGAGAAAGGAAGCCCCGGGGACGTTGGAGGTGGGTGATCGAGTAGGGTGAAGTAGCTGGCAGGGTGGAGATGGCGACCCGTGCGATTCAACCCCTCAGTAAAGCGGTAACCTCTGTCGAAAATGTAGCTCGGTGGTTTCGAGCTTTATTTTTCGGCATAACGACCGTTGCTTTCCTCCTGCTGTCAATTTTCGGCAGTTTACGGAACGTTGGAGTCTCACGAGATCGTTCGGATTGAAGAGAAAAACTTGGAATTTACCGAAGAAGTTGGAACAATCTGGCGTGACAATCGAGCGGTTTTGATCAACAGGTTTATTCTTCGGTGACAAACAGAAGCGACTGGTGAGATTGAAGTCTCTCAAATGTTTGTTTGTCGAATCGAGGACGATAATTGAAGCACGAGCACTTAGGATGTTCGACTATTTTAGGTGGAGATACGCCAGCACGAGCTCCTGTCGATAACTCGTATTAAATTCGTAACTTATTGCAATATTCTCACATATTAATTAAAATCTAGTTAAATAAGAAGTAATTATAAACACAGAGCAAGTACGAGCTTACATTTGGTAATATTGATTTCAGATGGGTTGGAAATTAACCAGCAAAAACGAAAGGGATGCGCTGTATGCGAGGTTTTTAGCAAATTAATGCAGAGGTTCGCGTTACCGCGCGCAAGAGTATTCATATAAATTTTGCGTTTGAGCGAAACATCGCGGTGGATGAGTTGGTTCTCTCTTAGTCGAGGCTTCCCTTTTATCGTTGGTTTGAAGCGAGAAAGAAATTTACGACAGCCGAAGGGAAATAAAATATCGCCGCGAGATTCTTTTTATTTACACTTGTTTCCCCGCAAGCCGATCGTTTACCAGGGGAATCGTCGCGTTGCCGCACTTCGATCCCCTTCGATGGCGAAAGCAAGCGTCCACGGTGTTTGAAGAGGTCTGTTTGACCTTAGGAAATCGTAGCTGTGACAGCAACAAAAGTTTGTTGGCATCTCTGCTGTCCTTTATATACCAATCGCAAAAAAATATTCTTCGACGCTCGTTGACGTTGTTATTTACCACTGAAAAGTAAATTTTGTACTATGTTTATAACAGGATATTTTCGTAATTCTTATAGCACGATAATGTCAACGTTCTCGATTTCTATTTGAGTGGCTGCTTCGAATTGCAAATGTGATACGAAGCGTTCATCGGACTGCCCTTTTTTTAAGAGTTCGAAGGGTCCAGCGTATCCTTTAATCTCTTTGTCTGTAGATGAATTTTCGAAGATCCTTTCTCACCCTTTGGGCTATTCTCCGAATCACCGCGTCATGCCGTAATAGCAGTGCGTAGAAGCAAAAGAGTCGAGAGCCATCGTAGAAGGGAGGGCAACTCGACAATTGGGCGCGGGGATGAAAATTCAATCCACTCTGGAAGGTTGACGCGCTGTTCGTAGAAGACTCGTGGCGAACCGGCACAACAAAGAGTTTCGTGTTTCATCAACATTGTGGAAACGCAATGAGCTCGCCAGAGAAGCTTTCTGCTTTCGCTTGGTAAATTAAAAAAAGAAGAAAAAACACGAAGGCGAGAAAAAATTCTAAGGAAAGGACAAGCAGGGATGAAAAGGGATAGCAAGGGCATTCATCGAGTTATCGAACTGAGATGACGATGAACAGTCTCGGACAATCGATACATTTAAAGTCTCCGCGAAGTCTCTGTCAGCTACCACATTACCTCAAATCCCCATCGAAGGACGCAGAAGTTCCACGCAGTTGTCTGTGAGCAAATCACCGGGCAAGACATTGGTTTTTGAGTTCCCTCCACAATTGTATCCGGAGACACTCAATACAAATTTCGTTCGTCAGTAGGAAGTTAAAACGTTTCAATAGTTAGCAAGCTGTTCGAACAGGAAATTGGGAAGCCTTCGAAGCTTCGTTGATATATTTACTGTGCATTCTGCCGCAATTGGAATACTTGCAAATGTAAGAGAAAAAAGATTATGGTAGTTTGTTGAACGTAAATCGAGGGTTTGTCTTCGCGATCGATAACGGTCGGTATTGGTGAAACGGTGGTTGAACTCCTAATTAGAAATTCCATATGTAAACTTATCTATCTCTTTGCCTTTCACCTTTCTATCGGTTTATTTACTTCTTTCCGTGTACCCTTTGCTTTTAAGATTGGGCCTACAGAGGCATTTTTTACGCCGCCTGTCGCGTGTCGCACGCGGGAAACACAGCACGCTGGCAATGTTTAGTGTCGGCGTGTAACACGCAGCGTATGAAACGTTCGTGTAATTCTGGCTTAAAATTGATCTCACGCTACTTTCCAATATGTATGTAAGTGTGTGGAAATGTTAACCGCGGTAAGACAAAGTATTTTGAAGTGCGAACCGACGCGATTGTTGAATCGTGTGTATGCGCGGACAGCGGAAAGAGAGTCAGTCTTCGATTGGTATGCGATGAGGACAATCATATTGTGTTCGGAATTTTAGTTGGCCGTCCGTTTATGGCACGTGCAGGCCCATTACCCTCATTAGGAAATTCGGAATTATCGGTCCTTTCAGGGCAGCAAACGTATTGACTCGAGGCCAGGAAAAACCCAGGAAAGGACCAACCGGAAGGGCACGGTGGAAAGGAGAAATCCAACGGCGAGGAGTTCAGCTTCAACCATCGGGCAGTACACACAGGACGACAGAGTCCTAACTTAGTTCGGTTAAGTGCTACAACGAATATAAATAAAGTGCCGTCAAGATCTAACATTCGAGTTATTCCATCTCCTCCACCTTGAACGTTAAGTCATTCGAGGTACGCGATATCGACCGATCGGTTCGACCTGACCGGTTGATCTTTAGTCGATAATACGCAACATATTGTAGTACCTTTTTACAGCATTTTTCGATCAAATTATTCTTAAAATTTCCCTATTGGTTTTCTTCTTCGTGCGTGAAAACGGCTCCTCCTACGTGCATGTATATATTTGTCTTATAAATTTTTAAGAGATTTATTTCACGTTCATTACGTTCGTAGAAATTCGGAAGGGCGAATAACCGAGAGAGCAAACAAAGAACGAAGATAACTATCTAATTAATCGAATGTCCAAGTGATATCTGTTTGTCTTGTTTGTTGGTCTTTTTGAACTAATAGCCGGGCTTTAATTAACTGTCTATCAATATGTTTCAGTGCCGGATCACATCAGGCCGCGAGTACATAGTTTACCAGAGAAAGCGTACAATCCGAGAGCCGGAGAGGATCTGTATAGACTTCGGGCATTCAGCATCTCCCATAAAGGCGTCGTAAACCGTGGTGATTCGATTATCTCGAGACGTCGCAGCAGCAACACTTCTGTCGATAGTAGCAGGTAATTAGTCCTTGTTAAGAATTATGTTTTTCCTGTGTATGCGATTGTGAAAACTCGTTATAAGTATGTTTCAGTAGGAAGTAATTGAAGCGAAACGTACGAAAATTGAAAAATCAAGGATTTGTGTGGTGCCTCGATTGCGCAGAGCACTGGGCGAAAAATTTGAAGCATATCGCGGTCTAACATTTTTTGAATAGAATGCGCGTTGCACCAGCGAACGGTCTACAATTTCGGGAATTTCAAAGCCGATAATCGAACGCGTTCCTGGAACACCGGCTCGATTGCTCTCCCCCGTATTACGATCAGTATCCTTGCTTCCTTTCGTTTCCATCGAATTGCGTTGAATCCGATCTAGAACGAGAACAATGACGGGCAAAATGCGCGACATGCTCTTTCCATCGATCACTCTCTACCACTGGGATTTAACTTAACAGACCGATTTCAATTTTCATGTCATTGGCCTGCTAATAATTAATTGCATCGCAACGTGATTCATTCTCGGTTTTTCAGCCATTTAATATGTAAATTTAAGACATCGATATTTCGTTCAACATTATAATATTACCGGAAAATTCTTTTGTTCTTCAACTTTTACAGAAATCAATTAGAACATGGATTCAGCGGTCTTTGTATCATACACATTTTTTAGGGACATTCGGTATTTAATCCGACTGCCGCAATTTCAATTACAGTATGTTAATCATACGTTTGCTTGTCCCCCAATTTGCATCGCTCTCGCCTCATTATTTTTCGCACTCGTTCGCCCGCTAGATAATCTCGTTGTACTGACGGGGGTATTAGAGGATTCAGCGGAAGCGGAATTAATGGAGCACGTTTGTCGACCTCCCTACTATGATTCTAATACCTCCGAGCCAACCTTGGCCATCGTCTTCAACGATATATTTCAGTCCAACGATATCGATCCTTATATCCTTAATTTCTACGCATTAGAATCGCGATAATAGTCGTTTAAATTAATCGTTTTGTAAATTAAACTCTTCGATCTAGTCGCTTTTAATAAAACAAGCGTGGTTCAGTCATAAAAGAAAATCGATGGCACGAAAAGTATATTCATATGCTTGTAAGCATAGTGCAAATGTGTATACAATCGTAGATATAAAATAGTAAAAATCGGTTAATAACTTGTATCAAAATATATAGAGAATCTTCAACGTAGCTTTTCACCTGTTGGTGAATTTCGTTTTGTCTCGAACGACTTAGTAATCAACTCCCACTCGCTATAATCTTCCATTCATTTGGATAGACCTGGAAGAAAGAAATTCGAATGATAATTTATTCTACGATTAACAACACTTAGATTGTTTCCTAATGAATTCATGATCTCACTTAGTGCTGGATAGTTAAACACAGGATATCTAGGCGCAAAAAAGGTATTCGCACCTAATACGAAATCCGACTCATTGTGATCTCTAATGTTTTGAGTTCCAGACATACATGCTTCGTAGGATGGTGGTGCTAAACAAGAGACGACAGGTAACGCCTACTAACTTGCTACTCCATTTTCCTTTGCATATGTTAAACACAGATTATTCGTTTCTTACGTATATCCAGGTTAAACGACGAACTGTTAGCTAGATCTTGTGTTGGAGCTGTCGGAATATTTGCTGCACTTGCTTGTTCTGGCATCGTCATTGGAACTGGCATTATCGCGGGTTTTGTCACATTTGAGTTTGAGGAGTAGGGTACGACGTTGTACGGAGATGGCAAAGACGGATAATATAATGGTATCGTTCCGATCAGAAGAGGATAAGTTCTCTTAATTTTAGAAAACCTGATTTTGTGCATAAATGAAATCATCGATGAACATAATTGAGTCTTTAGAAAGTAAATCGCGATTATTATATCGCGTCATAGTTATTAACTTATACCTTTGATATCATACTTGTTTCTAGTATTGATATTACGATAGTAATCCATTTTCAATGTATATTACTTACACTGCCGAAATGTGAACAGAGACGATCAACTCGTAATTTAAGTTTATTATTTTACAATGTTGAAGATAAGAGGGTGCTATGGGTGGTACCAAAATTTCCGGCGTTATCTGCCCATTTTTCTGAAATGGTCCAAAATCGCTCGTTTTTTTTATTACTTTGATGTTACTCAATGTCTTCGATGTCGCGTAAAATTGGAGCTTCTGCAAGAATAAAAAGAATAAATGAAGGACGAAACAAAAAAATGCTTCGGCATTGGAGAAATTGCTATCTCGACCATTTTCAACCACCACTCACTCGTAATAATGTCACGCTGACTTTCGTAATCTGTTCATTCGAGTAATTCATGTAATTCAGCGTTGTATTTATCGTCTGGCCTGGTACGTATCCAGAGGAAGGCACTGTGATCTGCAAATCCATCGAGCCTTGCCCGCACCAGCACAAGCGTTTGAAACTTTTCCTTATTCCATCGTTGATTCCAAACTGTGCGAGGAATAGAATAATTCGTTAATTTGAAATACGTTTGCACATTATTCTAGAAATGAGTATCAATTCCTTACGCATTTTTCACGATGAAGGTTCAAGTTTAAATCCGAAACTACGGTGAACGCTGCTTTACACTCGTGATCGAACTTCCATGGTCTATCGATCACGGCTTTTACCGTGTATCTTATGTAGCCATTCGTATGCTCGAAGCTGCATGGTATATCATTGGGCAATCGGAAGCTAAATGTATACTCGTTATGTCCGTAGGGGATTTTATGTCCTGCCTGGCCTGGAAAATTGATAAGCTCGTTACTATTTTGAATTTCGTAAATTTCATTCGTTATCTTCTGTTCATCGTTAACACTGATCGTCGTCTTGCTCAAATATTTAAATCTGCCGAACTTGAAAACTTTCACTCACAATCCTGTGTACCAAATATGTTGTACTTGAAATGGTAGTATTCCTCCGAATTGCTATAGGTTCGCGACTTTGAATCATCTAATAAATCACTTTCGGACCAATGGACATACGATATCCCCTTCGTACTAACATATAATCCTGTAATCAAGAATCAATCAGATTTTAGATAAATTTATAATCGACTTCTATTTATCTCTGGATACATGTTCGATACAAGACAATAATCTTATCAGACTGATTCGTCTCATTAGCACGATTCAATGACGATTTACTTACGCGCCTAATTAGAATTGTGCAATTTTTCCAATAGAAGTGCAATAATGATTACATCAACTACAGACGATTGATACATTCAACTACAGACGATTAACCGTGAATCTACGAATGATCCACATTTCCTAATTTTTTTTTAAAGACACGCGTTTTTTGCTGTTTGCAGAATTCGTCGGGAAATCGCACAGAAATCAGGTACACGAAAATTTTGGCAACGTAATTAAAGAACGTGCGAGTTTCCTTTGTAGCTGCGTACGTTTAACGTTGCCAAAAACAAGATTACGCTATTGTAACGGTTGTTTCAGATTAAACGTAGTAAAGCAGTTTACCGCAAAGCAGAACAATACAAGAATGTGATTGTTTGCAGAGATGTCAGTTTCTCATATCGAATTCACATTGACATTTTAATTATCAATTACCATATCACGTTTAGTTTGAAATGACTGTAAATTCGAAAACTATATATGTACTACATAGTTAAAAGCCGAAGACGATTCCTCTGAACGCGGCGCGTTTGAAAGTTCTATCGCGTTTCACAACCGCAATAACTCACCTCTAACTTGCTTCTCTTTTATTGTGTCTAGGATAATTTTTCCATTGACGATTTCACCGGGCATATATGTGGCGTTTGATCGATCGAATGTCACGCCAAATAGCTTCAACGACGGCATGGCGTATAGGGAACGCTCAGTACTGGTGATTCACAGCGCCAAATTTTTTTTACCGTGTGAGAAATTCTTCCTGAGAATTTTCTCACCGTGTGAAAAGAACTTTCACAGAGCACAGTTTGTGAATCGTCCGGGTCTCACTTGACCATCGACTGGATTGAATTTCTTGTTTCACATTGATACTAAAACAATAGTATTATCGGGATTGGAATCGGTAGATAAAAGCGAGGATATGGCGTTACTATCGACATGATATCTAGCTGTTAGTGATACCGGCGATTTTTTAAATATCAGGGACATGATAATTTGCCATTAGATCCGTTTGGTTAGGGAATACTTTATATAATTTTTTGTGCACACAGTAAGAATCGCGTTTGAGTTTATGAAAGTTATGGTTTAAAAGTATTTTCTTACTGGCAATCAGTCGAAACTATTCTTAAGAAGAGGCAATCGATATTTTAAGGGCGCGTGATTCGCTTTTCTCGTCAGCGCGTAACTTGTACGAATTCAGTTCGTTTCTTCGCTGCTCCCTCGCGATCTGATAAATAATGATGACATTTCGTGTCATTCCAATACTTTCGAGTCGTTCTTAAGCCACACATGTAATGGACGCTATCGAGTCTTTCAATGAGATTGACTTTAGTTGGAAATGTGCTTGATCACGCGTCGTAAACACAAGTCTATATCGAACGTACTCTTATAATTTTAACGTAGAATATAAAATTGATAAATGCAACGAAGGTGGATCCACAAGTAATATCTCCGATCATCGACCGCGTTTCGAGGGCAATTTTCCACTTTGAAAATTATCGCATCGCGTCTGTTTCCGACAATCTGGTTCGACGTTTACCTGTTGGTCGTGTTTGCCGAAGTTTGACCGCAAGCACGGGGGTTGATCCGTGAGCAGTTACCACACGTTGCGGTGCAAATTCGAGCGCAATCTCAGCGAACGTTTATATAGTGTGTCGTCGTGAACCATCGATTACCCTAAAGGGACCGTTGCCACGTTAGTAAGTATCTGCGGTTTTACACGAGAATCCAATTTCCCTTGGGAAAGCTGCGCGCCTTTGCATCCGCTTAGCGAATAAAATTTCCATCGTACCAATAAAACTTCACCGTGCATGGGATTAGGAAAAAGCCAGCATCGAGATGTAACGTTTATCGTTGCAAAATTTTCTGATTTGCAAGGACAACTTGCTGTTTGTACTCTTAATTCAAATATCAAAATCGTATCGCAAGTTCGTATTCTCTTGGCAACAGGTTTATTATGAATACGAACTGTCTGTTGATATTAAGGTGAAACATGTATCAATTCATATATTAGTAATTAGTTCCCGTTGTTTTCCTTTCTGCCTTAAACATGTATGTTCAACGGTCCCTGGCAAACATTCTTCGAAAATGGTAATAACGTATTATCAAACACCAAGCAAAATTCATACGCGGAAATCTTCAACGTGGATAGGGAAATCGATTCAATGGAATATTTACGCTATCGATTTCAAATCGGACGTCATTCCCCTGATATCCATTTATTCTCTTACATAAACAGCTTCTGTTAAATAGCATTATCTTTCATTGAACTCAGCTGTTCTTGGAAAATAATGGACCTCGAAAGAGTGCTCTAATACGTGACATTTGCTTCTCTACTTGTACCGTTATTTTATTCCTTCAACGATAAGATGAAATACATCATCAGTTGGTGACGTACGGAGATCCCGAGGAGTCACGGAAGCGAAATGGATCGAATTGATAAAGAGACACGTGCGAAGAGAAAGGAAGCCCCGGGGACGCTGGAGGTGGGAGGTCGAGCAGGGTGAAGTCGCTGGCGGGGTGGAGATGGCGGTCCGTACGCTCCAACCCCTCAGTAACGCGGTAGCCTCTGTGGAAGAGGTAGCTCGGTGGTTTCGTGCTCCGTTATTCGACATAACGTCCTCCGCTTTCCTCGTGCTGTCAATTTTCGGCAGTCTGCGAGTCGTTGGTCTCTAACGAGATCGTTCGGATTGAAGAGAAAAATTTGGAATTTACCGAAGAAGTTGGAACAATGTAGCGTGAAGATATCTCTCGAGCGGTTACGATCAACAGGTTAATTCTTCGGTGACAAACCGAAGCGACTGGTGAGATTGAAGTCTCTCAAATGTTTGTTTGTCGAATCGAGGACGATAATTGAAGCACGAGCACTTAGGATGTTCGACTATTTTAGGTGGAGATACGCCAGCACGAGCTCCTGTCGATAACTCGTATTAAATTCGTAACTTATTGCAATATTTTCACATATTAATTAAAATCCCGTTAAATAAAAAGTAATTGAAAGCACAGTGAAACTACGAGCTCACAGTTCGTAATATTGATTTCAGATGGGTTGGAAATTAACCAGCAAAGATGAAAGGGAAACGCGATATGCTCGGTTTTTAGGAAATTATTGCAGAGGTTCGCGTTACCGCGCGCAGGAGTATTCATATAAATTTTGCATTTGTGCAAAACGTCGCGGTGGATGAGTTGATTCTCTCTTAGTCGAGGCTTCCCTTTTATCGTTGGTTTGAAACGAGAAAGAAATTTACGACGGCTGAAGGGAAATAAAATATCTTTGTGAGATTCTTTTTATTTACTCTGTTTCCCCGCAAGCCGATCGTTTTCCAGGCGAATCGTCGCGCTGCCGTACTTCGGTTTCCTTCGATGGCGAAGGCAAACGTCCACGGTGTTTGAAGAGATCTGTTTAACCTTAGGGAACCGTAGCTGTGTCAGTAACAAGAGCTTGTTCGCATCTCTGCTGTCCTTTATATACCAATCGCAAAAAAATACTCTTCGACGCTCGTTGACGTTGTTATTTACCATTGAAAAGTAAATTTTGTACTATGTTTATAACAGGATATTTTCGTAATTCTTATAGCACGATAATGTCAACGTTCTCGATTTCTATTTGAGTGGCTGCTTCGAATTGCAAATGTGATACGAAGCGTTCATCGGACTATCCTTTTTTTAAGAGTTCGAGGTGTCCAGCGTGTCCTTTAATCTCTTTGTCTGCAGATGAATTCTCGGAGATCCTTTCTCACCCTTTGGGCTATTCTCCGAATCACCGCGTCATTCCGTAATAGCAGTGCGTAAAAGCAGAGGACTCGAGAACCATCGTAGGAGGGAGAGCAACTCGACAATTGGGCGCGGAGATGAAAATTCAATCCACTCCGGAAGGTTGGCGCGCTGTTCGGAGAAGACCCGTGGCGAGCCGGCACAATAAAGAGTATCGCGTTTCATCATCATTGTGGAAACGCAATGGCAGAGGAGCTTTCTGCCTTCTGTTGGTAAATTAGAGAGAGAAGAAAATCACGAAGGCAAGAAAAAATACTAGGCGAAGGACAAGCAGGGTTCAAAAGAGATAGCAGGGACACTCATCGAGTTATCGAGCTGAGATGGCGACAAACAGTCCCGGACAATCGATACATCTAAAATCCCCGCGAAGTCCCTGTCAGCTACCGCAACTACCTGAAATCCCGATCGGTGGACGCAGAAGTCCCACGCAGTTGTCTGTGAGCAAATCGCCGGGCACGCCATTGGTTTTTGAGTTCCCTCCGGAATACTATCCGGAGACACCCAATACAAATTTCGATTTCGAGGAGTTTGGACGATTGAACGAGCCCGATCGAGGACCCAGAAGTCCGAGTTATTACGTTCGTCGGGGATGTAGGAGTCCAAAGAGCCCGACCCCGGACCTGTTGCACTCACCGAATAGAAAATCTCCTATTTTTCAATTCTCCGAGTGTAGAAAAAATTTAGGGAAGACTATGAGTTATCCGCCAAGGAGTCCGGTCTCTGTCTCGCCCATAGTGCCAGTCAGGTCTCCTAGTTCCTCGAATTTCGGTTCCAAAAACCTGAAATCTTTCGATCATCGTAAAAGTTGTTGTTTCGGATTGAGTGGTTCTAAAAATCCCATGTCTCCGACTATCGTCACCTCTTTGACTCACGGATCGTCTAGTCCAAAGCACTCTGAAATGAATATGGATCATCAGAGCAACGTGAATTACAAGACTAATGGATCCGGAACGTCTTGCGTAGAAGGATCTTTCCGAGATAAAAATGACAGTCCGAATAGTAAGAAGGGTAGCAAGAAGAGCAGTCATTTTAATCGCAGTCAAGGATGCTTAAATGAATCTAGCAAGAGCCAGAGCGAGAACACGGAGGATGTTTATGGGAGAAATGGAAAAAATATGTCGAGGAGATCGACCAGCGACTTGACTGATATGGGGGACGCGGATACGGAGGTGACTTTGCTCTCTAGCCCTCGAAGAAGAGGCTCCATGAAGGGTGGTCTCGGTGAGTAAAATAAATCATGACACAAGGCGACACATCGGTACGCTTATTGTTAGTCTCGAACGATATAAAATTCATTTCCAGCAAAGTTTTTCGAAGGATATTAATAAGGTTGTTCTCTGTTGTATTTGTCAAAAGTTCGCTTAAAAACAGCATGGAAGTCTTAATTGAAAATTTATTGGATCAAAATGGGTCAATCTTCGGGAGCGTATCGTCGACTCGTAATTCTCTCGTCGAAAGAATCTCCGGAATCGTATTTTAAAAGACTTTGCAAAGTGCAACGAGCGCGGAAAAGATTCAATTAACGGGGCTATCGTTGCACGAGGGAAAGAGAGTTAATTATCGATTCGTTATCGCGTGGGCGGGTCTCGTGTCCAGTGAAATCGCAAATTATATTATCTCGTAATGAGATACATCGTTTTCCGGACACCTCTAATTATTCAATCGTTGAAGCATCTGCGGAACAATGTTCTCTCGCGTGGCGATCAACGAGGGGGATCGTCGATAGGATTAAAATCATTAGCCATTACTCCATCGGTTTTACCGATTCCTCCTTCTCCTCTCCCCTCCTTTTCTTTTCAATGTCACGTGCGATGGCAGGATTATCGGTTTTAATTAATGCTGGTAGCATCTCGCGCTGATTCCCCCGAGTCGTTCGAAGCGTGCAACACGGTAACGAGCCACGCGACTTCCGAAGTTAAATTTTTTAATCAATTTGTAATCGACGACAATTGTTTCGTAATCGAGCTAAACGTGAACAACGACTCGGCCACGTGACACAGTTGGTCGAAGAAATCAGATTCGTCAAAGATAACAGGAGTGGAATTTTCCATATATTTCGGAAACGCCAGGCGCGCTTCTCGATTCGTTGGTACCAGCGAGAACGCAATTTGCTTACCGCTTAAAACATCCCATTGTTCTTAAAGTCAGAGTATTCTGTTTTGTATAAACTTCGTCCCCGTTTTCTCGCGGCTGCACGGCATAGAGATCATAATTACACCGCTTTAAACCATCTTACCGTGCATGATGTTCTTCGTATCTCCGCTTCGCTGGAATTAATAACAACGTCGTTATTAGCCCGTGCGTTTCAGAGTTAGTCGCTTTGTTCTTCGAGTCTCGTGTCACGTATTTTCCATAATATGTTACTCGGCCTTTCGCGTTGTGCTTTATCTCGTCACGCGGCAGACAAAGGAAAGGGCTACCGAGAAACTAAAAGTTAGCTCGACGTAATCATTTTCCCCAGACCGTCTTACCAATCCCAATTGGATCTTCGTTTAAAGGCTGCGAATAAAACCAGCTTTCGTCCTATTCGTTCCAGCCGGTATCCTTTCCCACTCGCGTTCCTTTTTTCCCTTGCCATCGGCAACTTTCTTTTTGCCGGCGGGAACGAAAGGCTGATCCCCGTATTTCGAGCGATTAATTCTGTAATACCGTTCGATCTTTAATCCCTTGAGCTAGGCGCGCAACTTTTGCTCACGCGTTGGAACAGGCTCAAAGTCAGGGGTTAACGGTCATCGCCATGGTCGCGAGGAATCGTCGTTCACGAGCGCGTTTCACGAGCATCAAGAACGGCGTCGAGCAATTACCAGGGATTCTAGATCGCCTTTATTCGCGACAGATCCCTTTGAACGTTGTACGCGACGCGAATTCCCCACCGGCATTTGATGAAATTGCCCGAGACGTTTCTGTGTTGCAGCCTACCTCGCGTCCAGACGGGGTTCCCGCGACAGCCAGTGCTCCAATTTGTCGAACGTCAGCAATGAGAACGTGGGTCCGTTGAACTTCAGCGCTCACCCCCGCGCCAGGCAACGAAGGACCTCCAATTTCTTGGAGCTACCCGGTAAGCACGTATTTCCATCGTTAAGGCTGTCGAACGCGATATTTCTTCGGTCTTCTGGTCGTTGATCGCGGTTAAGGACGGTGGATGGTGGCAGGTGGTAGACGTCGTAAAGATGGAGTGGAAAGACGCAGCTGGATTACCTTGTATACAGGGCTGACATTTTCCAGTCAATTTTCAATTTACCTTATTAAATTCTGGTTTTTAAGATCGTGGTTATGAAAGCACGTTTCAAGCATTTTATTAATACTTCGTTTGCGGTTATTTCTTTTGTTTCTATAATGTATGAAATTCTTTTCGTGTTCACTGGTATATACAGCAGCGGTATAATAACTTTTATATTAAATATGTTTTTGATGCTTGATGGATTATTATGTAAAAGCAGACTGTGCGTGTTTCATGGTCGGAAATTGTTATCATTGCTGGATCTTTCTTTCTTCAGAGCAATTTAAATGACAGAGAATTATATCTACTCGTATAACTTTATCAGGCATTCCAGCTTTTAGTTAGACGTAGGAATTTTCACGATATTTTTCTTCCTGTCAATTTTTGTAACCGAGTCGTAACAATTGAGCGGCTGATTCAGTAGAACGGGGTCGAGTTATCAGATCGACCATTGTTACCGGCGTTTTTAATCGTACATTACTGTTTACATTGAATGGTATCGGAAGCAGCGACGGCACCGCGCTGCCTGTCCTGGTTTAAAACTTTCGATACGCAATTCGAATGTGGAACGAGGTTTCCCCCAACGAAATAAATATACACGTCTATGTTTATGTCACCTTATATCTGAATCTAACAGCTGGCCGCGGAATGAACTATCGTGCAATCACGATGTTCAACGTGGTCTTGCCGAATTCGTTCATTCATCGACTAATCATGCAAATCCCTATGAAAATTCGTCTCGATTGAACGAAGCTATTAAATCTTGAATTTTTCCAATATCTAACGTCTATTCGTTCATGAAAACGTAGTTGCGCTTTAACGAGAAACAAGGGAAAGTAAAAAAAATTCAGTCACTTCGATCGCTTTGCATTCGCGTAGATGCCACGGAGCTCAAACTCCATTTACATTGAAAACGCTTTTTCATCTGCGTTTCAACACAACGAGGGTGGAAAAGGAAAGGTTCCTCCGCTTCCTTCGGTTGAAGAACCATCGAGGGGGTTAGGTAATATCGCGAACAGGATCGCGAAGGTAATCCCTGCCCCCGTGCGTCGATGTTTCGCGGTGGGGATAGCTTGTAGATCTGCCCTTGAATGGATTTCCTAGCGGCATTGAAGCTGCGGAACGTATCAAACTGACAGATTACCCAGGAGTATCCGAGACGGCCGTATCTGCACGGCGGAAATTAATTACGCGGCCGACGTCCGTTGGGTAAATACTTTCCGCAAATAACCAAGCCAACGACGACCTCTGTCGATGGAACAAAACCATCGTCGACATGTGATATTAGGATTAGCGATGTTAGGATGCCGTGTTGGTCAACCAGTTACATTCCGGTGGAGAAATAGCAGTAGAGAGAGGGGAACGCGGAAAAATGAGACACGTTCTCGTAGATCGCCATGATAATCTCGTCTGATAATGAGTTTTTTTCCCGACTGCTGGCGGATTCTCATTAATAACCGAGAGTACTAGTCGGAAATAGAAAATTGATGCGACATGTAAATTATTGTTCCCATGTTTATGATGATAAACACGATATGCACGATGATAAACTAGACTGCAGTCGTTTATATAGTTATTTATGAGAGATTTAAATATACAAAATATCTAACGATAAGCGGAGGATAAATATTTGCAGTTAAATGATAATACACATCGTTCTTTCCATTCCTTTTTCTTTCTTCCTCTTGTTTTTTAACCAATACGATGAAAAAAATCTCAGAGCGGAGAAATGGCCTTCTGTATAAAATATAACGCAGCGAATAAGAGGAAAAGTACGAGTAAGCGCTAGAAATGTGGGTGTACAGGAGATAACCGACAACAAAACGTTCGACACAATCGTTTTCAGGAGGGAAAAATGATCGCGGAAATGTACATGCTCAGATACGCTCGCCAGTCGGGAGCGTTGTTCTTTGATAGCGTGGTTTTTGTCGAATGCTTTTATGATCGGCTTCTTTTCCGTGGCACGCGCAATATTGCGAATTTTTGTTGGCAAAAATTCCTCGACGTATTTTTGCCAGTCTGCAAATATTTAGAGAGAAGAACGAGTCCGGTGATATTCCCATTTACCGTTACCGATTCCTCAGATAAAACGTGTATAAAACGAGCCGAACCGATGCGATACGATGATATATACGTCGATAGGATAAACGTAGTGGAATAGGACGGACTAGGTCAGACACGGGTCGCCTTTGTCTCGAACGCCTCGGGATTCTTCCTGCTTTCTCCATTGGCTTCGTCATTTCCTCTGCGTCCGATTTAATTATTCACCGCCTTCTACTTCTTTGTGCTGCTTCTGTTTCGAGAAAGCCTTCGGGCATTGTGTTTTTTATCTAAATTGTGGACAATTAAGCTTCATGCGAACTACCGTTCTTCTTTAATTCAGAGAAAAAGAAAAAACGAGCCGAAAATGTTTGCGAGTCAGATTTAAGTTAACTCGAAGCTTGATTATCTTGACAAAGAATTGACATAAAATTTATGATTTGATTGTTTTCGTCGAATTATTAATTTTTTTTTGTTAATTGCCAAAAAATCTAAATAAGGGTAAAATCTAACAGAGAAATCCGTATGCCTCGAACACGTTACTACACGTACTTCTAAAAGCTTAGTAGAGATATACAAACGTGACAAAGTTCTCTACGTAATTAATATGTTGTTTTCTCTATTTATCTCGCTTTTAATGCAAGATGCACTTGTACTACTTTTTCATCGAATCCCTCCGTTGTATTTGCCTCGTTGTACTCTTATTTCTAGATCGGTCTGAGCGTAGTAACAAGTTCAATCTGTGCTCTCGCTGTTTCTCAATTTGCGGGAGCTTTATCTTTTCTCGACCTACCTCCGAAATACCTTGGGAGATCGGATTTCATTCGTAGTTCCAAATGATAGTCATCGAAGCTCCCATTTGCTCGTCTAAGCTTCCTATTGCTCGAGGACATTGGAATTTCCCTCCGAATCGATGAAAACTTGCCGCTAATTTCGACTAGGCAAAGTTTTAGCCAGTGTCGTTGCCGTAATTAGATACTCGGCTCGGGAGACGAACTTCTTGAGTGCCTCGTCGACCTGTAACCGCATTAAATGCCCGCTTTGTCGGTCGTCGTGTACGCCACGTGTTCCTGGTTCAATTTTCATCCACCTTTGGAACTTGTCCTTGTATGTTAACGAACTGTTGCTCGTGCAAGGTTACCGGTAAAATTATTTCTTCCGCGGCCGTTCGTTTGACGCAACGATTCCTCAGCTGCCATTTTCATCTGCTTCGTCCACTAAGAATTCGATTATTCATTATTGGATACAGATAGTAAGGAGATCGTGCAATTTTTGGCCACTTCGATTCATCCGAACTACCAGAACGATCAAAAATGACCAATCCACAACTTTTCATAAAAACTTTACAAACTTACAACGATACAGTATTAGCTGTAATAGTTTTTGAATCTGGAAAGGTCTATTTTTTCATTTTTGTTTCTGTGGCACGTGTTTCGTGGCTCAGTAGTACGATATCTCTATTGTTAAATCAGAATAGACGAGAGTTTAAAACGTATTGATATTATCGATATAAATTAGAGAATGAACACTATTCGTTGCAACAGATGAAACAGACTTATCGTGGATGAAACCACGAATAGCACGTATTGCGTAGGTGGTAGATGTATTTTTGAATGTATCCGAGGGTACGGACTCTGTTGAAGATTTAATTAACTCGATAATAAAGGGATATATAAATAAAAAGATTATAGAAATAATTGCAAGACTCTGAGCAGAAATTTATTCCACGATTGGCCATTCCCTGGGTGGTTCATAGGATCTGATGTAGTATGCATGAGCAGGTTGCGACCGCGCTGTAAACCGTGGTCTGAACGAAGACCCATGGTCTGTTATGGTATTTCGCAGACCCTTTGAATACTGGATTACGTCCGAACGTTAAGGTCCCCCTTCATTTCGCATTTCTGCTAAGTAATACTTCTATTCAAATATATGTACATGCAACGTGACGTAGATTATAATTCTTCGCGTATTATAGTCGTTCGGTTAAACTACATTATACCTACATAAATATTTATCGATGCGATGGAGCCCACAGAAAAATATTGAAAAAGTTGAATAGGATGGTATACCATGGAAGTTAGTTGGAAACCAGTTGCATTAAACCGCGTTGAAAAAGCGAATGAAATTCTGCGGAGTTTACAGGGCTGGCGAATGGAATTTTCGTTTTGAATTCGAGAGTTTTGGTGATTGAAACGGCTATTGTAAACAGTTTTCAAGTTCATGTATTACAAAACGATGACTCGAACACAGTTTTCCCTTTATATTTTAAGAGCGAAGAAAGAAGAGCGAACCAAAATTGCTAAGTAGGGAGAAAAAGCGTTTCAATAGTTAGCAAGCTGTTCGAACAGGAAATTGGGAAGCCTTCGAAGCTTCGAAAGCTTTGTTCGTATATTTACTATGCGTCACGTCATAATTGGAGAATTTCCAAAAGTAAGAAAGAAAAAAAAAAACGATGGTAGTTTGTTTAACGTAGATCGAGGGTTTCTTTTTACCAGATGTGAACTTATCAAGCTCTTTGCCTTTCACTCTTCCATCGGTTTATTTACTTTTTTTTCGCATACCCTTCGCTTTAAGACTGGAACTACACAGACGTTCTTTACGCCGCTGTCGCATGTCGCACGCGGGAAACACAGCACGCTGGCAATGCGATACAATATTTAGTATCGGCGTGTAACACGCAGCGTATAAGACACTCATCCAGCCGTACAACAGAAAAAGTGCACGTACAATACGCGACGTATGAAACGTCCTTGTAATCCTGGCTCAAAATTGATCTCGTCACTTTCCAATATGTATGTAAGTATGTAGAAATGTTAACCACGGTAAGACAAAGTATCTTGAAGTGCGAACCGACGCGATTGTTGAATCGTATGTACGCGGAAAGAGAGTCAGTCTTCGATTGGTGTGCGATAAGGACAGTCCTATTGTAGTACCTTTTTACAGCATTTTTCGATTAAATTATTCTTAAAATTTCCCTATTTGTCTTCGTGCGTGAAAACTGCTCTTCCTACGTACACATATATATTTGTCTTATAAATTTTTAAGAGATTTATTTGACGTTCATTACGTTCGTAGAAATTCGAAAGGACGAATAACCGAGGCAGCAAATGCAAAACGAAGATAACTATCTAATTAATCGAATATCCAAGCGATATGTGTTTATATTGTTTGTTCGCCTATTTGAACTAATAGCCTGGCTTTAATTAACTGTCTATCAATATGTTTCAGTGCCAGATCACATCAGGCCGCGAGTACATAGTTTACCAGAGAAAGCGTACAATCCGAGAGCCGGAGAGGATCTATATAGACTTCGGGCATTCAGCATCACACATAAAGGCGTCGTTAATCGTGGTGATTCGATTATCTCGAGACGTAGCAGGAGCAACACTTCTGTCAATAGCAGCAGGTAATTAGTCCTTGTTAAGAATTATGTTTTTTCTGTGTATGCGATTGTGAAAACTCGTTATAAGTATGTTTCAGTAGGAAATAATTGAAGCGAAACGTAGGAAAATTGAAAAATTAAGAATTTGTATGGTGCCATGATTGTGCAGAGCATATCATGGATAGAGCAGAAAAATTTGAAGCATATCGCGTTCTAATATTTTTTAAATAGAAGCGAACGATCGAACGATCTACAATTTCGGGAATTTCAAAGCCGATAATCGAGCGGCCCTCCGTATGCAGGATCAGTATTCTTGCTTCCTTTCGTTTCCATTGAATTGCGTTGAATCCGATCTAGAACGAGAACAATGACGGGCAAAATGCGCGACATGCTCGTTCCATCGATCACTCTCTATCACTGGGATTTAACTTATCAGACCGATTTCAATTTTCATATCATTGCCCTGCTAATAATTAATTGCATCGCGACGTGATTCATTCTTGGTTTTTCAGCCACTAAATATGTGAATTTAAAACATCGATATTTCGTTTGACATCATAATATTGCCAGAAAACTTTATTGTTCTCCAACTTTTACAGAAATCGAATACAACGTGGATTCAACGCTCTTTGTATTATATATATTTTCCAGAGGCATTCGGCAGCGAATCCGACTGCCGTAATTTCAATTACAGTATGTTAATCATGCGCTTACTTGTCCCCCAATTTGTATCGCTCTCGCCTCATCATTTTTCACACTTGTTCGGGGGTATTAGAGGATTCAGCGGAAACGGAATTAATGGAGCACGTTTGTCGACTTCCCTATTATGATTCTAATACCTTCGAGCCAACCTCGGCCATCGTCTACAACGATATATTTCAGTCCAACGATATCGATCTCTATATCCTTAATTTCTACGCATTAGCATCGCGATAATAGTCGTTTAAATTATTCGTTTTGTAAATTAATCTCTTCGACCTAGTCGCTCTTAATGAAACAAGCTGTTTCAGTCATGAAAGAAGATCGATTGATTTTTGCTTTCGTCTCTCGAAAATTCATTTTTTTTAGCAACCATGGAGCCCATGACATTTCCGACCGGATAGAGGTAGAGGTAGTATCGTGGCGCTACGTTCGCGCTTTCATTCGTTTGCCTTCGACTTTCGTTACGAGAGGCCATAAGTCTTCCCTTCCCTGACAGAGAAAAATCGTTCATACCCATGGGAATGGCGCTTGTACTTCGTTCCCGTTAAACTGATTGTCACGATAAAAATTTATGACAATCAGAGCTACCATGCCGAAAATTTAATTCGCCGGTGATAAGCGCAGGAAAGGCATGTTTATTTGGGGATCGCGTTCCAGATACTATGTTCGATAAGATAATCGCGTTCGCGTCGTGATAAAATCCTTGACAAATCGATCACGTTAAAACGCGTGGCCCCTTTTCTAACGAAGACATTTAGGTAAGAATTAAAAAGTGAACGTTCACGCAAGGAAGTACGTCGAAGTGGAAAATAATTTCGATTATGATTCTCGGTTAATGGACGTTCATCAGGATATGTTTTAAAACAGTGAGCGAGATTGCAAAAATCTACAAGCTTCATATATGATGCCCACGCATGGGGAGAAACTCCACATACACGCGGCGCAGGTAATATCTTTATCCTGCTGATATATCTTGGCTATGTTACAAAATATGAAAAAAATTGTTTCTTATAAGGAGTCGCTTTATGGCCAAACCGTATACTTTGAAAGTTATTTTTTTCACGAATGAAAACGCTGATGAAATTTCTGGCTCCTATATCAACCTCCTATTAGTATCAAACTAAATTTAAAATCTCCAAATTTCGATCTTCCGATTGCCAGCGATCAATTGCCAACTACGTATTTTTAGCGCATAATTCTGCAATCCTGTCGAGATAAAGGAAAATTCATTTCTGGACATTTTCCATGGTTTCCTGATATTCATTTTCTCACGGACTTTCGAGCGTATTTATCACGCTTGTCGATGAGATGGAAACTTCTTCCACGGCATTCCATGTTTAGACGGCTGTCTTTCCTAAACTAGAAGTCGTAAATGAGAAAATCCTCGTACCTTGGTGATTTAAACTTTCGCTCGCGTCCGCTGAGACACAAGAGAGTGGCACTTAATTTCGGCAACAACAAGTGAATTAATCGAGTTCCTACGGTTAACTTCGCACTTTATATCGTATTGTGTATTTCAACAAATTGTTACCCAGTGATTCGTTTGCAGTCAAATTTGCCATGCAAGTTAAATCGGTACGCAAAATTCAACGTTAGTTTTTGATACCGAATTGTGCATTAATAAAAGCCAACGTACTGTCATATACAGGGTGGTTGGTAACTGGTGGAACAAGCGGAAAGGGGGTGATTCTGCGCGAAAAAAGAAGTCGAAAATATAGAATAAAAATTTTTCGTTTGAGGCTTTGTTTTCGAGAAAATCGACTTTGAATTCAATCTCACTGTAGATCGTGTCTCGATGGAAAAATTAAAAAAAAAAAATTGAAAAAGAAAATCTTTATTCTATATTTTCGACTTTTTTTCGCGCAGAATCACCCCCTTTCCGTTTATACCACTAGTTACCAACCACCCTGTATATTTCGTTGAGCAAATTCATCTCTCTCGTTCCTTTAAACGAGACTTCTCTCTCTCTCTCTCTCTGTTTCTTACGTTTGAGAAATGACGTTTATAAATCTTCGCATGTATCACCGTTGTTTGAACTTCCGGTTTCTACTTGTTGTCACTTAACAAACGATCTTCGTTTTCCTTCTCATTCGGATAATTTACGCACTAGGCGAACAAGTTAATTCGTCGCTGCCGACAATGAATCAACTACAACTTCATTTTTTAAATGCACGAAGAAATCTTCCTCTTTATCTTTTATGACATAATCGTATCCTATATCTAAACGGAGATATTCTCGATTGTTCGACAAATGGAATAAAGCGGTCGATGAGAAGGGCTTGAGTAACTTTTGTCGATCGCGTAGAAATCTCGCTTTCGTCGACGGGTCGATTTCTATTTTAATTCGAATACGTTTCTCGCAAGGGGGAGATATTAGCAATCGTAAACGGGGAAACGTCGGTCGTATCGCCCCTTTTTCACGTTTTTCATTTAACGTCGTTTAATTGGATCTCGAAAACGACGTTGAGCCCAGCTGAATTGTCGGACGTCCATGACTCGCCATGGCCAGGAACGATGACATTTCTTTTGCAATTGCTGCACGCGTTCCACCAAGGTCGAAAGTTTAAGGGTGACGTGAAAATTAACGACAGTCGACGAAACTACTGTTGCGTCGTTTCCAGCAAATTTTTGGCAATCAGTCGTTTAAAAAACTCTGAAAAATTATATGGACAAAACGTAATGGTTCAACGATTCTCCAAGCGTTTTCTCTTCTTTTCTTTTTCCGTGAGGATTTAAGATAGCCGTGGAATCAGCTTACGGTTTTCAACGAAGGGCATGGATGTCGACGAGCTGCCTTTTTACTTTTGAAAGCACGTCGCTTAAGTAACCAGCAATCTCGTTGCTATTCTGAAACGGCAACAATAACGCTCGCTATAGATGGGGAACGTGAGAGATCGGCATTGAACGAACCAAAGTACAATATCTTAGAAACTTTATTATACAAAGATAATCGAATGTTTGCAACGAAATGTGGGATCAAGTCGTGACAATGATGGAGAGGCTTGCGTATTTAAAGGAGGATCGGTGATACGATCAGGGACGATCCTTAGAGGAAGAAAAGGAAAGGGCGAATCGCTATTTGGCGGGGAACCGCGCCGATTGGAGGAGAGCCAGAGCTCATGGTCGAGGCTTCCAAACGTTCCTTCATTTTCTTATTTTTCTTATTTTCATTATCAGGTATGCGGTGCAAAAGAGAGTGGTTATTTTTGAAAGCCACTTCGAAAGGCCGTGAACGCTTTGACTCGTCCATCAGCTATTCGACTCGACTCGTGTACTTTTCCTTCTGTTCCCTACCGCTTCTATAGCACAGTCGCACGTTCTTCCTGGCTCGATCCAAGATCAACATGCAAGACACGAGGAAAGACTCTCTGCCACGCACTAACCGTATTTCCTTTGAATCTCGTTTCGATAGAACCATGCTGGCGTGACGGAGTCGACAAGAACGCGACTAGCTTCTCGAGTGTCTTCCATCGGCTATTTCATTCTCGAATTTTTCACATAGAAATGTTGGAACAGATCGGGAGAACACAATAATATCGTACGTGGATCGAAGCTGGAGCCGAGTGAAAAATACCGCGTGTCAACTCTCCCCTGCGTGGCACGACGTCAAAAGGGTATCCGTTTGTTGTTTTTAAATTGTGATTTGGTGTGACGATAATGGATCTAGTCGCTGTACTCGATCGTCTCCTCGTACTCCATGGACTGCTGCGCCCTCGTCGACGACGAGGTCACGGACTTGATGGATGTCGACGACTCGATCACGGACTTGGTCTGTACGCTCTCCATGGATTTCATGGTGGAGACGGATTTTGATTCCGCCGTGATGTTCATCGACTGTTCGACAAGGCTACCAGCGTTTTCGTTCACTGTCGAAACGAACAAATTCTTATCTTAATACATCGTCCGATGTATTGATTCACGATTATTTTGAACGTATCTTACAAATTTCGAAAAATTCCGAGTCACAGAAAATGACTGATAGCGTTAATTAGAATTAGAAAGTGAAATAAATAAGACAGATTGAACGTAAATAACAGAAGGAAATCGAGTTAGATAAGTAAAAAGGGATTCGATCGTGTACCAAATGAAATTAGCAGCACGCACCTTTAGCGACCTCCATTACTCAATGAAAGTTGCGCGTCGGTTTCTCTTAGCCAGTCGGTTCCCAAAGGAAGTTTCCGTGAAGAAAGGAGACGCGAGCAACTCGAGATCGAACTCACGAATGGTCCGAACCGCGGAGCTTTGGGTTATTCTAAACCCGTAACCGATGATGGAGAGGGAAAGTCCGCGATCACGTGGCGGTAAAGATGCACGAGTGTCAG